GCTGCCCCCGCGGGCAGCCAGCGCGGCCATGTACGTGCCCGCGCGCTCGGGCCGCGGCCGCAAGGGCCCCCTGGTCAAGCAGACCAAGGTCGAGGGCGAGCCCCAGAAGGGCGCCGGCGGCCTCCCGCCCACCCAGTCGCCCACGTCGCCGGCCTCCCCGCAGCCGCCGCCGGCCGCGGCCGCCTCCTCCGAGAAGAATTCCATCCCCATCCCCACCATCATCATCAAGGCGCCGTCCACCAGTAGCAGCGGCCGCAGCAGCCAGGGCAGCAGCACTGAGGCGGAGCCGCCCACCCAGGCAGAGGGCGCGGGAGGCGGCGGGTCCTCGGCGCCCAGCCCCGCGCCGACCATATCGCCGGTGCCGCCGTCTCCCTCGCCCGTGCCCACTCCCGCCTCCCCCAGCGGCCCAGCCACCCTCGATTTCACCAGCCAGTTCGGAGCCGCCCTGGTGGGCGCGGCCCGGAGGGAAGGGGGCTGGCAGAACGAAGCGCGCCGGAGGTCCACGCTCTTTCTCTCCACCGACGCGGGGGACGAGGATGGCGACGCCGGGCTGGGTGCGGGGGTCCCGCCGGGCCCCCGGCTGCGCCACTCCAAGTCCATCGACGAAGGCATGTTCTCCGCCGAGCCCTACCTGCGGCTGGAGTCCGGGAGCTCCGGGGGTGGCGGCGGCTACGGGGGCTACGGAGCGGGCAGCCGCGCCTACGGGGGCAGCGGGAGCAGCAGCGCCTTCACCAGCTTCCTGCCCCCCAGGCCGCTGGTCCACCCGCTGACCGGCAAGGCCCTGGACCCCGCGTCCCCTCTCGGGCTGGCCCTGGCCGCCCGGGAGCGTGCGTTGAAGGAGTCCTCGGAGGGCGGCGGGACCCCCCAGCCCCCTCCCAGGCCCCCATCGCCCCGCTACGAGGCCCCGCCGCCCACCCCGCACCACCACTCACCCCACGCCCACCACGAGCCGGTGCTGCGCCTCTGGGGGGCGCCCCCCCCGGACTCTGCCCGCCGGGAGCTGGGGTACCGGGCAGGGCTGGGCAGCCAGGAGAAGGTGCTCCCGGCCAGTCCGCCGGCCGCGCGCCGCTCTCTGCTGCACCGGCTGCCCCCTACGGCCCCCGGCGTCGGACCGCTGCTGCTGCAGCTGGGGCCTGAGCCCCCGGCCCCCCATCCCGGGGTGAGTAAGGCCTGGAGGTCCAGCGCCCCCGAGGAGCCGGAGCGGCTGCCCCTGCACGTACGGTTCCTTGAAAACTGCCAGCCACGGGCCAGCGGGGCCGGCGGAAGGGGGCCCCCAGCGGAGGACGGGCCCGGGGTCCCGCCGCCCAGCCCACGCCACTCGGTGCCGCCCTCGCCCACTTCCCCGCGGGGCAGCGAAGAGAACGGGCTCCCCCTGCTGGTACTGCCGCCGCCCGCGCCCTCGGTGGATGTGGAGGATGGCGAATTCCTCTTTGTGGAGCCGCTGCCCCCGCCCCTCGAGTTCTCCAACAGCTTCGAAAAGCCGGAGTCTCCCCTCACGCCGGGGCCTCCTCACCCGCTGCCCGACCCGCCCAGCCCCGCTACCCCTTTGCCGGCCGTGCCACCCCCGGCCGCCGCTGCCCCTCCCACCCTGGACTCCACCGCATCCAGCTTGACCTCCTATGACAGTGAGGTGGCCACGCTGACCCAGGGGGCGCCCACGACTCCCGGGGAACCCCCTCCGCCAGGCCCTCCAGCCGCTGCTGCCCCGGCCCCCGCAGCACCCCAGTCCGGCCCAGACCCCCCACCTGGCACGGATTCTGGCATCGAGGAGGTGGATAGTCGGAGCAGCAGTGACCACCCCCTGGAGACCATCAGCAGTGCCTCCACGCTGAGCAGCCTGTCTGCTGAAGGTGGTGGCAGCGGAGGGGGTGGTGTGAGTGGTGGGGCCGGTGGGGCCAGCGGGCCGGAGCTTCTGGACACCTATGTGGCCTACCTAGATGGGCAGGCCTTTGGGGGGAGCGGTACTGCTGGCCCGCCGTTCCCCCCGCAGCTTATGACCCCCTCTAAGCTCAGGGGACGAGCGCTGGGGGGCAGCGGAGGCCTGCGGCCGGGCCCCAGTAGTGGACTCCGGGACTCCGTCACGCCCACCAGCCCCACAGTCTCGGTGACAGGGGCTGGAACCGATGGACTGCTGGCCCTGAGTGGCTGCGCGGGACCCTCGGCGGCAAGTGTGGCCGGGGGTCCAGTGGCTGTAGAGCCAGAAGGCCCGCCCATGCCCTTGCCGACAGCCTCCTCCCTGCCTCGGAAGCTGCTACCCTGGGAGGAGGGTCCAGGCCCACCACCACCACCCCTGCCCGGGCCCCTGGCCCCGCCTCAAGCCTCAGCCTTGGCGACAGTCAAAGCCAGCATCATCAGTGAACTCAGCTCCAAGCTCCAGCAGTTCGGGGGCTCCGCAGCAGCCAGTGGCGCTCTGCCCTGGGCCCGGGGAGGCAGCGGGGGAAGCGGGGACAGCCACCACGGCGGAGCCAGCTATGTCCCTGAAAGGACTTCCTCCCTGCAGCGGCAGAGGTGAGCAGGTGCTGGCAGCTGCCTGGCAATGGAGGCCAGAGGGACAGATGTAAGGGGTCTCTGGGTGGCAGAAAGGAAACAAACCAGGTTGGCTCGTGGCAAGTTTCCCTCAAAGGAGCATGCCTTCACAAATACTTTAAACTTCCCTTTATCTCAGTTGCTTTTGTGGCCACCTCCCATTACCATGACAACCTACATCTCATGATGGAAAAAAAGTTATTAACCAAGGAGACTGGTGCGAAACTTGCTGATGGCTGTTTCCTTGGTAGGTTTGTCAGTTGTGCCTGACAGTCCCTGAAATCTGCCAGTCCATTGAACCCAGTCTGGTTAAAGACATGATGCTTTAGGGCACAGTAGGTGTGGGTTCTGGAACCCAGCTGCTTGGGTTCCAGTCTCAGTTCTGTACTTTCTACTTGAGTGACCTTAGGTCAGGAACCCTCTGCAGAAAGGAGACAGCACGGTACCTGCCTAATGGGCTTGTCAGGAGGAGTACAGATGGGCCATTGTTAGAACATGAGATGTAGGAGGAGTGGGGCCTCTTACAAAAGCCCAGGGAAAATGAGGGATGCTGCTGCTGTTTCTCAGTGCAGCTAGCTGGGACTGCCAAAAATAAAGTTCCAAGCCATGCAAGATCCCCTAGTCTTAGGGAAAGTGGAGTCCCATTCCTGACTCAGACACACAGAGAGGGTGGGGAGAGGTTTTTAAATATCCTTGCCTCTACAGAACTCATTCTAATTCTATTTTAGGGTCTAATATCTTTATGGTTGATATTAGAACATGGTTTTATCAGGCCTCTGAGACCTTAATGCAACTCATTGATTATTCTTAAGTATTCTGGGTAGAGAAGAGGATGCTTAATTTGGTCAATAGATGGATCAGTTACTGATTTATCACCTGGTATGTGTGAGGTGACTTTCTGGGTGATGGGGACCCCACAGGAGTGGACAAGACAGGCAAAGCCCTTTCCTCATAGAGCTCATATTCTAGTTGGGGGTGGTGGTGAATGGGGGGCAGACAATAAACAAAATTAATGCGTCCATTTTAGAAAGAATATATAATAATGGGATGGTTAGAGAAGAGCTCTCTAGTAATGGGCAAGTTGAGCAGAAACTGGAGGAGGGAAAGGAGCTACCTGGGGGAAGAGTGATCAAGGCAGCGAGAACAGCCAGTGCAAAGGCCCTGAGGTGGGACCTTGCTTGAAGGAGCTAAAGGGATGAGGGGAACCTTTTTCTCCCCTTGTTTCTTCTCTCTTTCATCTCCCTCTCTTCATCTCTCTCTCTCTCTCTGTCCCTTGTCCCCTTCCATCTCTCTTCCCTGGACGCTCACCTTCTTTTTGTTCCTCTCTCACTGTTTCCCCGTCTTCTGCTCTGCTGTGACTGGCCATAACCCAAAAGGCAGAATAGAGTAGTGGTTAAGAGCTCAGACTTTGGTGCCATGTAACCGGGCTCTGCCACTTCCTGGCTGTGTGTCCTTAGGCAAGTTATTTAAACCTCTCTGTGCTGATAATCATAGTAACCTGCACCAGGGCTGTGGTGGGGGGTTAAATTGAGATTTGATACGTAAAGCACTTAGAACAATGCCTGGCACACGTGAGCATCAGGAAGTGGTGGCTATTATTATTATTATCACTTAATGTCTCTTTTTCTTTCATCTCTCTTGACTGTCATCCTCTCCCTGGTCTCTCATCTTTCTCCCCCTTCACTTCTGTTCTGATATCCATCTTACCCCCTCGCTCCCTTCATCTCTTCTCTTCTCCTTTCTCCGTCTCTCTAACCCTGCCCCGATGTCTCTTTTCCTCTCCCCCTATATCTTGACCTCTGCCTCTTTCTTGCCCCCACCCTTGCCCCCCAAATCCCCTCTCCCCTCCACCCCTCCCTGCTTGTCACATTCCAGACTCTCGGATGACTCCCAGTCCTCGCTTCTCTCCAAGCCAGTCAGCAGCCTGTTTCAGAACTGGCCCAAGCCACCCCTGCCATCACTCCCCACAGGAACAGGGGTTTCCCCTTCAGCAGCTGCGGCCCCGGGGGCCACCTCACCCTCAGCTTCCTCCTCCTCCACGTCCACCCGCCACCTCCAGGGCGTAGAGTTCGAGATGCGGCCCCCTCTGCTCCGCCGGGCCCCCAGCCCCTCACTGCTGCCTGCCTCGGAGCACAAGGTCAGCCCTGCTCCACGACCCTCGTCCCTGCCCATCCTGCCCTCCGGACCCCTCTACCCGGGCCTCTTTGACATCCGCGGCTCCCCCACCGGAGGGGCAGGAGGCTCAGCTGACCCCTTCGCTCCTGTCTTCGTGCCGCCCCACCCGGGGATGTCTGGGGGCCTTGGAGGGGCCTTGTCAGGAGCCTCCCGCTCTCTCTCACCGACCCGCCTGCTTTCGCTGCCCCCGGACAAGCCGTTTGGCGCTAAACCTCTGGGGTTCTGGACCAAGTTTGACGTGGCCGATTGGCTGGAGTGGTTGGGCTTGGCCGAGCACCGAGCCCGGTTCCTGGACCACGAGATTGACGGTTCCCACCTGCCCGCCTTGACCAAGGAGGACTACGTCGATCTGGGTGTGACCAGGGTGGGCCACCGAATGAACATTGACCGGGCGCTTAAGTTTTTCCTGGAGAGGTGATGGCTGGGCTGGGTGGACCAGCCCGTCCACAGCACCCTTGAGCCTGCTGGCCTTTTGACCTCTGACCCCTGACCGTCATCCTTCCCACCCTGGGCCAGGGATTCTGCTGAAACTGTGCCCTGCCGTAGTTCCCCAAGGCCAGAGGTCACCAGGTGGCCAATCCGGCTGGACATATGCACCTCATAGGAGGGGGCAGCTGACACATGACTGTGTGTGTGTGTGTGTGTGTGTGTATGCGCGTGTGTGTGCGTGTGTGTGTGTGTGTGCGTGTGAAGTGGGAGTCGAGGGGGATGGAAGGAGTTATGGAGGGGAGATTAAGAAGGAGGGAAGGGTCGACTTTTGGGGGGGGACAGACACAGCCATAGAGGGTCAACCCTGAGCCTGATGGGATGGGGGCCGTCCCCCAAGCCACAGGGGAAGGGGGTGCTCTCAGATTCCACCACCTGCCACCCCTCTAACAACCCTTCCCACCCTCTCCAGGCCCCTCAGCTCTCCCCCTTCCGCTCTCCCCAGCACACACAGCTGCCCCCAGCCTCTTGCACGCTCCTTTGCACGCCTGCTTGTCTCTCTCTCTTGCCCCTCCCCTCCCTGGGCTGCAATTTTGCACAAATTTGCCCTCTCTCTCTCTTGCACAAGCCCACCTTCACCTCCGGCTCTCTCAAGGCCTGCTCAGCTCTCAAACAAGTGCTGTTCTTCTCTCGCACACGTGCGTTTCTTTTCACATGCTTCATGTCCTCTGCTCTGTCTGGCTCTTGCTTACACTCTTGTCCCATGAGCCTTCCCTTGCACACCCCACTTCTTGAAATCTCTCGACCCTTGTTGCAGACACACTTGGGGCACACTTTCCCTCACTGGCTCATGGACTCCGTGCACACATATTTATTCTCTGTGGTGCCCTTCTCTTTGTTCAGCCCTTGCACACGTGCTGTTGTTGGCACCTGTCCTAACACACTCTTACTGCCATTTTCTGGCATTTATACACTCACTTTCCCCTTCTTATTCTGTAACCCCCAAATTCTTACTCTTACGTCATCTCTCCCTCTCATAGTCACAACCTACGCGTCTCCTTCTCCTTGTCCTCTTTGCACTGTCACTTCTGATCACACCCCTTGCACACCTGCCTCCCAGGTACTTTCTCTGTCAAATCCTTCCTTTTCTCTCTGCCAGGCCCTCACTCCCTTGCACCCTTCTTTCTCAGATCTTTATCTATCTTCATTCTTTCATCTTTAGTGAGCCCTCCTGCACATGCATCCTCCCAGCACTTTCGCTTGCTTTCTTGCAGCGTTTTTCTTTCCCTCAACAACGTTCTTGCACACTGTGACTTGGCTGCACACTCATTCTTGTCTTTTTACTTATTCCTTTTCCTTTTGGAGAACTGCTCTCCACCATCTCCTGTTGCACACTCATCCCATCTCACACACTCTTGGGCTGGTCTATTGTTTCTTTCCCTGGCACCCTACTCTTCATTCTTAATCTCTTACCTCCTCACACTCTGCTCTTCCTGGTGAGAGAAGACCCTGTGCACACTTGCTTCCTGCAAACCATGCTTCCCGCATTCCTCTTCTCCCTGCCTCAAGCTTCTCATCCCCCATCGCCACTTTTCAGGGTCCTTCCTGGGCCATCTGTCCATTCATTCTGCACGAAGTTCCTCCTCCCTCCTAACCTTTCTTTCTCTCCAAGAGACCCCCCCCCCAGCATGGCTCTTCCTCTCCTGCACGCCCCCCTCCCCTTATTCCTGGGGCTTGGGAATTTTAAGCCACCCCTCCCCCTGGAAAGCCCCCTCTCCTGCTGTGGATAAAGGGAGGAGGGCCTTGCCCTCAGGTCCCCCCATGTTCAGCTGCCAAAGAAGGGAGCTCCCCCTCCTTCCCCCAAGCCCATTCCCCTTCTGCTGCCCCCTACCCCCAAGGGGGGGCGCTCCGTCCATGGGTGGGGGGGCTTGCAGCCCCCTCCCCTCACCACGTCAGGGATCTGCGGGGTACCTTGTGGGAGGGTTGTGGGAGGGGGGAGGGTGGCAAACGGGGCGGAGATCGCGTTGGGCCCCTCCCCGCCCCCTCCCCCGTGTCTGCTGCCCCCGTTCGCAGGGGGCCTGCGCGGCGCCCGTCTATCAAGGGCTTGTTCATTCTGGATTGGTGCCGCGGGGTTGGGGGAGGGTGTAGGGGGTGGGGAGGGGAGAAGGAGAGGTAGGGTGGGGTGGGGGGAGGAACTGGATGGGGGGCAGCGCGGGTCAGAGAGCAGAAACATAGCAAAAAGAGGAACAATAACAAAAGGAGAATATTAAAAAGCAAAAACCCTAGAACACAAAAAATCCTGAAAAAAACCCTGAAATAAAAGCCCGAAAATTGTCTTCCAAGGGGGGGCGGGAGGGGGAACAAGAGGGAGGCGGGTCAGGACGTCTGGTTCTCGCTGACAGTGGTGGGCACTCTTGGAAAGCCCTGGCGCCCGAATCTTCCCTCTCTCGGGCCTCAGTTTACCCCTTAGGGGACGAGGACCTAGGTGTCCATTGCAGGGACTGGGGGAAGATTAGGGAGGCGGGATTATAATGTGGGGGTTCGTCCCTACCTCCCGTCACCTTCCTCCCCCTGACTCCCCACCAAGATTTTGCAGAGAGAAATGGCTTTTGTACCAGGTCATTCTTTATAATTAAACTCACAGTATCAACCCCCTCGAGCCGACCACGCCTCCTTCCTGGGGAGGCGATGCCCCTTTCTTGCGAGGCTTGGGGGTAGAGTCGCCGGACCCATCAGGGCGGTGCGCTAGCGCAGCCAAGACCCTCCCCCACGCGTCAGTCTTCCTCGTTCGGCTCTGCGCCCAGAGCCTCAAGCATGCGCCGTCGGGCCAGAGAGCGGCGCAGGTGCAGGCGATAATCGCCCAGCAGCAGCTCGTCGTGGCGCACGAGCTGGTGCGGTAGCCTGCGGGGACTGAGCCCGGAGCGCAGCAGGCGCGAGCGAGTCTGGAAGTCTGTAACAGTGATGAGCCACCTGCGGGGAGGGGGCGGGGTCGAGAGGAAAGGGGTGGGGCGGAGACGGAAAGGTAACTCGCTGGTGGTCCCTGCGTAGTTCCTGTGTTGGCTTACCGACTGCAGCCCATCCACCCGTTATTCCGTCCCCGACTTTCTCTGCACCCTGTCCTCCCCTAAGTCATCTGGAGCCCTCACCTGGGTAATTCTAGGCCCCGCCCCCTCACTCGGTCTGGCCCCGCCCCTTACGTCGGTTCCTCCCGGGCCTGCCCCCGCCCAGCCCCTACAATGTGCTCAGGCCAGGCTCCACCCCCTCGTAGCTGCCATTCTAGGCTCCGACCACCCCTTGCCTCGGTCTCGCCCATCCCCTTCCCTATCTGGATCAATCATAGTCGGACTCCTACTATAGATGCCGCCTTCCCTTTGATCTTATCCGGCCCCGCCGCCTTACCGCACTCACCGTCGGCCCCCTTATTGCGCTCGCTCTAGTCCTGCCCCCGTCTCCGCGCCCCCATCCACTTGCTCCCAGCCCCACCCCTTCACTGGCTTCACCTCAGGCCCCGTCCCTCACTGCCCTCCTGTCTCTCTTTGAGTCCCGTTCCCCTAATCGTCACACTCAACCCCGCACCTCACTGCCCTCATTCCCCACACTGAGCTCACCTCCGCCCCGCCTCTCCCAGTAGTTCTCGGCTCCGCCCCCTTGCCGACTTACTCCGGCCCCGCCCCTCGCCGAGCTCCCTTCTTGCCCCGCCCCCTCACTGAGCTCCCTCTCCTCTCTTGCTCCTCCCTGTAGCTCCCGGCCCAGCCCCCTCACCGCCCTAACTGCCGGCCCGCCCCACCACTGAGTTTACTCCCAGCCCCGCCCCCTTACGGAGCTCACCACCGCCCCGTCCCTCCCAGTAGTTCCCGGCCCCGCCCCCTCAGCGCCTTTACTGCCGCCCTGCCCCTCCCGTCGCTCCTGGCCCCGCCCCCTCCCAAGCTCACCGCAGCCCCGCCCCGCACGTCGCTCACCGGTCCCGGCGCCCGGCGGTCCCGCAGATGACATTCATGTTCTCAAAGCGGATACTGCTCACGCGCCCGCTCTCCATGGCCCCGGGTAGCTCGGCCTCCAGCGCCTCCAGCACCTCCAGGTGGGTAAAGTCCGCCTCGGGCTAAGAGTCAAGAGAAAGTCTTTTATCCCGCAACACCCGAGTTCGATTTGGCTTCAGAAGTCCCCAGCCTAGACCCCACCTGCAGAAAGTGCCAGAGTCTGAGGTGCACTGAGGTACAGGGATCTTACGTGATCCTAGGATCCTGTCGCCTTGTGGGGGTGAGGGGCAGGAGCTCTCAGGTAGAAAGCATCTACTGCCATTCTAGGTCATTCTCCAAAAAATCAGTTCTCACCGAGCCAATTGGCCAAAAGTCAACCACCAGTTGACCAAATGATTAACCTGTTTTGCAAACTCTGCCAATCTACCGAAAACTTTTCCAGCAACCTGTTCTGAATGGCAAGCTTTTAACAACTCTTCAAGTTAGAGTTCTGTGAGGTTTTCAGTTGTCCACTTCTTGTTTTGTTCTTTCCTCCATATTAGCAGTTTAAGGAACGTTCAGTTTGTCAAAAGCTAAGGGTCATGGGGGATTTGACTTCTTGTTAATCTATTTAATTCATTCAGAAAAATATATATGGATTATCATTAGCCACATTTTTGGCACGAGATTTGCAGGTCAAAGGTGACATACAGCTGTCATAGCATATAAAATTGCGGAGGAACTAAAAATGAAATCATGGCACGCCTTGGGTGGCCAGTAAGGGGGGGGGGTCTTCCCAAAGCCACAAAGAGGAGGTTGGTTGATTGTAAAAAGAGGACAGCAATCCCTGTGTTGGAGTGAAGCCTCAAATGTCAGCCAGGAGAGCGCCTCTGAGGCGGCTGCATGGCACCCGGTTTAAAAAAAAAAAAAAAAAAACCCAGTCACTATCCAGTTGATTCCTATCCGTGGTGTCCCCGCCCCGTGTGTCAGAGTAGAACTGTGTTCCATAGGATTTTCAGTGGCTGATTTTTGGGAAGTAGATTGCCAGGCCTGTCTTCTGAGACACCTCTGGGTGGACTTGAACCTCCAACCTCTTGGTTATCTTCTGAGTGCACAGTCAACACTCAGTAAGTGCCCTTAAATCAGCTCTTCTCATTCAATCCTCCCGTCCGCCCTCAAGTGAGAGACCTTGTCTCTGCCTCTTCAGCTGAGGGCGGGGATGGCCAAACTTCACTGAATCTGACACAATAATGGACTTTTTTTTTATTAGTTTTTGTGATGTTCATAAACTTTACAGAATTTTATATTAGATTAGCAGGATACTGAATGTCTTCAGTTTCCCCCTCTCTCTGCCCCTCTGTCTTCCCCCCCACCCCTCAGTCTCCCCCTTTTTGTCCCTTGGTTCCCCTCTATCTCTTGGTTCCCTTCTCTCTGCCCCTTGATCCCCCCTCTCCCTATCCCTCGGTCCCCACTCTCTGCCCCTCAGTGCCGCCTCACTGCCCCTCGGTCCCCCTCATCTGTACCTCAGAATCCCCTCTCTCTGCCCCTCGGACCCCCCTCCCTGCCCCTTGGTTCCCCCATTCCTCAGTTCTCCCTCTCTCTGTCCCTCAGCTCCCCCTCTCTGTGCCCTGCACTCTCCCCTATGGGATCAACAGTGATAAACTTGACAAGTGACTCTTTGACAAACTCACAATCAACTTCCAGCCAACTGTCCTGGTGCCGGGCCCACAGCTGGTAAGCTGCAGAGCCTGGATTTCAACCCGTCCACCTCACTCTGTGCCTCTGCTTTTCACACTTCCCCACCCCAACTGTGCAGACACCAGGGTCCAGGAGCCCTCACCAAGGTCTCCATGCAGAGGCACAGGGGCTGGGCAGCAGGCGGTGTGGGGAACTTCCGGATGCATGGGAGCTCCCGGTCCAGGGCCTCATACTCTGCGATAACCTGTCGCAGGTGCTGCTTCCTGGGGCGAGAGCAAACGGGCAGGGACCTCCGAGGTCAGGAGTCACTGCCATCAGCATTGAGGGGAGCTGAGGTTAGAGGTCAGGGGCCAGGGGCCACTCACGAAGATTTGGTGGGCCTGCTTAGGCAGCAGGTCTGCGTCTCCTCTGGAGTCTCGGGGTCCACAAGGAGGGCTCCTGGGAACGGAGAACTCAATGTCAGTGTCCTGAGCACTTGCTGGATCAAGACAAAAATACAGCCGCCCTGGAATCATGTCTCAACACAACACAGCACAAACGTTGTCCAAACCACAAAATGACCAAACACTATCCATTTTAAGGAGCCCTGGTGACGCAGTGGTTAAGCGCTCAGCTGCTAACCAAAAGGTTGACAGTTCAACCTACCCAGCAGCTCCATGGGAGAAAGACCTGGCAATCTGCTTCCATAAAGATTACAGCCCTATAGGGGCAGTTCTCCTCTGTCACATGGGTCGCTATGAGTCGGAATCAGCACGACGGCACCCAGCAACAACCACTCATTCTTTTCAGAACTTCAATAGCTGCTTCTTCACCAACCACATTATTAGCTCATTCATTCCTCCTGCCTCTGGATAGAATCAAGACACCCAGTCACAGACCTGCCCCATTTCCTGACCGCATCCAACTCAGAGCAAAGACCTTGAAACCTCCCCAGAACCACCCAACACAGTCCAACTCGTATAAGAAGTCCTCTCCAATACCCTCTTAGGATCCCTGGGTAGCACAAGTGGTTAGCAACCCACTGCTAACCTAAAGCTTGGCCATTGGAACCCACCAAGTGGTGCTGTGAAAGAAAGACGTGGCAATCTGCTTCCATAAGATTGTTGTTGTTTTTGTGTGCTGTCCAGTCGATTCTGATGCATAGCGACCCTGTATGGCAGAGAAGAACTGCCCCATAGGGTTTCCTAGGCTGTAATCTTTACGGGAACAGATTGCCACGTTTTTTCTCCCGTGGAGCCGCTGGTGAGTTTGAACTGCCAACCTTATGGTTAGCAGCCGAGCACTTAACATCGCACCACCAGGTCTCCTCCCATGAAGATTATAGCCAAGAAAACCCTATGAAGCAGTTCTTCTCTGTAACATTAACACACGGGGTTGCCATGAGTTGGAATCAACTCAACAGCAACAGGTTCTAATATCCTGTTGTGCAGGCAGTGGTGGTTCAGTAATAAAATTCTTGCCCTTCTATGCTGGAGACCTGGGTTCAATTCCCAGCCAATGCAACTCATGCACAGCTATCCTCTGTCCATCAGTGTAGGCTTGCATGTTGCTATGATGCTGAGCTTCCAGACTAAGACAGACTACAAAGAAAGGCCTGGTGATCTACTTCTGAAAATCAGCTAGTGAAAACCCTATGGATCACAATGGTCTGATCTGCAAATGATCATGCGGATGGCACAAGACTGGCCAGCATTTTGTTCCATCGCGCATGGAGTTGCTATTAGCCAGGGCCAACTCAATGTCAGCTAACAACAACAATACCCTCTTATGGAGCCGCCCTGTGGCTCTCATAGCGTGTGATCTCCCTCATGACAACAAGTCAATAAACTCAGCTTTGTTTGACTATGGGCACTGGTGTGCTGGTAAATGTTTAACAACCAGCTCTCAAAATACACACATACATATAGAGAAGTGCAGCATTTGCCAATTTCCATGGTGTCAATACTCCTACCACTGTTAATTTCACGCTAGCAACAGTTTAAAGAACCAGTCTGCCAAATTCAACAATTGGCTCTCATGAGCCAGTACAGGCTATCTCTAGCGTATTCCTGCCACAGGTATATTCCTGGTGGTCTTTTAACTTCAAGGCATTGACTCAGCTTAGCTTGTTCCAAATGAGTACACCTCTCTGTTCTCTGTCCCCCCACCTTCCATCTGCTTCCCTAGGGCAGCTGGTGGGATCCTTTTTTTTTTAAATGATATTTTATTGTGTTTTCGGTGAAGGTTTACACAGCAGCTTAGGTTCCCATTCAACAATTTCTACACAAATTGTTCAGTGAAGCTGGTTACATTCTTCACAGTGCCTGCACATTCTTATCATTTCTGTTCTGGTTGTTCCGTTTCCATTCATCTTGTTTCCCTGCCCTGTTACCTTCTCATCTTTGTTTTAAAGTAATTGTTGACCGTCTGGTCTCATGAACAGATGACTTTTTAAAGGAGCACAGTACTCACAAGTGATAGTCTTTATTTGGTGAGTGGTGGGATCTTTTAATCTCAGCACCCCATGCTTACAAACCACCAGAGCCTTCCTCTTGCCCTTAGGATTGAGTCCTTACTGAGGTTGACAACTTTACTCCCTAGCGAGTGGTCTGGGGACCACTGGATCAGAATCTGCATTTTAACAAGATCCCCTTCAGGTTGTGTTCACATCAATATTTGAGGAGCTCTGGCCTGTTACGCCCTGAATGTGGCCACCCCTGTTGACGTCTCTGATCATTTTCCTCCAGCCATACTGGCCTCCCTTCCATCCTGCAAGCACAGTCGTCTCCTTCTCAAATCTGCCCACTTAACAATCACGACAACTATGTGTTTATAGTCTCTCCTATGTGCCACGTCTTGTAAATTTCTATCACAAAAAACGTTGTTGCTGTGGAGTCAGTTCCGACTCATAGCAACCCTTCCTTATAGGACAGAGTAGAACTGCCCCATAGGGTTTCCAAGACTGTAATCTTTACGGGAACAGACTGCCACATCTTTCTCCTGTGGAGCCGCTGGTGGGTCCGAACCACTGACCTTTTGGTTAGCAGCTGAGTGCTTAAACCACTGTGCCACCAGAGCTCAAGTTACAAAAATGATGTGCCCTGGAAGGTCATGGAAGCTCCACAGACACATCCAAACTCCATGAGGGACCAAATTGCTGTGCTGAGAGTTGTGGGGACCATGGTCTTGGGGAACATCTAGCTCAATTGGCATAACATAATTTATAAAGAACATTCTACTTTGGTGAGTAGCATCTGGGGTCTTAAAAGCCTGTGAGGGGCCATCTAAGATACTCCACTGGTCTCACCCCTTCAGGAGCAAGGGAGAGTGAACAAAACTAAAGATACAAGGGAAAGATTAGTCCAAAGGACTAATGGACTACAACTACCATGGCCTCCACTAGACTGAATCCAGTACTAGATGGTGCCCGGCTACCACCACTGACTACTCTGACAGGAATCACAACAGAGGGTCCCAGACAGAGCTGGAGGAAAATGTAGAACAAAATTCTAACTCACAAAAAACTACCAGACTCACTGGCCTGACAGAGACTGGAGAAACCCCAAGAGTATGGCCCCCAGACACCCTTTTAGCGCAGAAATGAAGTCACTCCTGAGGTTCACCCTTCAGCCAAAGATTAGGCCCATAAAACAGAACAAGACTAGAGGGGCACACCAGCCCAGGGGCAAGGACGAGAAGGTAGGAGGGGACAGGAAAGCTGGTAATAGGGAACCCAAGGTCAAGAAGAGGGAGTGTTGACATGTCATGGGGTTGTTAACCAATGTCATAAAACAATATGTGTACTAAATGTTTAATGAGAAGCTAGTTCTGTAAACCTTCATCTAAAGTACAACTAAAAAAAAAAGATGTGCCCTGGACAAGTGTGTTAAGTGACTCGAAAAGTGACTTTAGCAATATCAAAGATACGTATGAAAAATGTAAATAAAGTAGTTTGTCATGTAATATGATATTAGAAATAAGAAATATTTCTAAATTGCAGTAGCAATTGTATTAGTTTAAATGGATATGTGTAACTAAACTAATAAAAGTATAAATTTAAAAGTAAGTATGTATTCAGGGACACAATAGATGAATCCTGATAGAAAGGGAGAAAAAATGTGGAGCAGGACTTAAAATTCTTAAAGAATCTGGACTTACTGGACCTACTGAGGCTGGAGGAGTCCCTGAAATTATTGCCCTGACTTCTCTTCAAACCTTGAATCAAAACTATCCCCTGAAGTCACCTTTAAACTAAGTAACAGTTGAGTTCAAAAAGTAAAGATTATCACCCATGAGTACTGCATTCTTTTTTTAAAAAAATTATCTATATAAGACCACATGGACAGCATAGATGAGAAGGTTGGGGGTCGAGGGCCAGTAATTTAAGTCAACAGGAGTGAAACAACTAGCACAGAAATATCAAGAATGTTGACACAATGTGAAGAATGTGTCACATAACCAATGTCACTGATGATGTCTAGAAACTGTTGAATGGGAGCGGATTTTGCTGTGTGTATTTTCGCCAAAAATAAAATACTAATTTTTTAAAAGTGTGTATTGACTTCTTGAGTAAGTGCACCAATTTCAAGCTTTAACAGACATCTGCCAGGGTTCCTGTGTGCCGTGGAGGATGCTGGGGACCAAGAGATAAATGAGACCCAGGCTGTCCCTCAGGGAGCTCCCAGTCAGTGGGGGAGCCAGTCGTTATAAAGGACAATATGTGACATAGTGGAGGTGTCATGAGGTGGAAGGGAAGCCCAGCCTGGGGGCAGTCCTGGAAGACTCCCCAGAAGAAGTGATGTCTGTAGTAAGACCTAAGTAAAGGAGTTTGCCCAAGTAAAGAGGTTACAGGGAGAAGCAGCGTATCATGCAAAGGGACCAACAGAGGCAAAGGTCTTTAAGCAAAAGAGAGCATCGTCAGCTGCAGGAACTTCCCAGAACTTTCTTCAGCCCCAAGACTAAGGAGTGCTTATTAATTATTTGTGAGATGGCATGTTTCATGTCCCCCTTCCTGCATGAGAACAAGCTGGGTCATTGCATCCATTAGGCACCACAGGCAAAGTGCTTGGGACCCGTGAGCTTTCTAACACTCTATGCAGAAGTTTGCAACCTAATAAACTAAAAGTGTTACTGGCTCCAAAGAAAACAGCAAAAATGGAATAAATCAATGTTGATTAGAAGGTTTACAAATCTGGCCAACTGGTCAACTCAGTTGCACTCAATTTTTCTGGGGCTGTACATAAACTATATTTATTATGTGGGTGCCTTTGACTCGGTTGGAGGTGGTGTGGAGTGGGGTCTCCAAAATAAAGGCACCTTCAAAGGCACTAAGGAACCCTGGTGGCACAGTGGTTAAGCACTCGGCTGCTAAAAAAGATGTGGTAATCAGCTACTGGAAAGATTATCCACTACCGTCGAGTCGATTCCAACATCAATTCTGACGCATAGTGACCTATCAGACAGAGTAGAACAGCCCCCTGTGGTTTCCAAGGCTGTAAATCTTTATGGAAGCAGATTGCCACATCTTTCTCCCATGGAGCGGCTGGTGGGTTTGAAACACTGACGTTTCGGTTAGCAGCCAAGCACTTTAACCACTGCGCCACCAGGGCTGCTTCTATAAAGATTACAGCCTTGGAAACCCTGTGGGGGAGTTCTACTGTGTCCTATAATATCACTGAGTCAGAATTGACTCGACAGCAACGAGTGTGGTTTTTGAGTTTGGGTCAAAGGCACTAACAGAGAACTGAGGGCAGAGAGGTGGTGTCTGTTTTACCATTGGGATGTTCGCTGTGCTTAGGATGTTGTTGTTGGGTGCTGTTGAGTCAATTTCAACTCATAGCGACCCCATGTGACAGAGTAGGGCTACCCCATAGGACTTTCTAGGCTGTAATCTTTATGGAAGCAGATTGCCTGGTCTTTCTCCCACAGAGCTGCACGGTGTGTTCGAACTGCCAACCTTTCAGTTAGTAGCCTAGTGCTTAACTGTTATACCAGCAGGGCTCTTTGTGCTTAGGATGGCACCTGGCATTCAGTAGGAGAACCCATAGCCATTCCCACCCTTCTTCTCCCACTTGGGGAAGATTCATTTCACCCCCTTGTGATTCAGAGGAAGCTCATCCATGCCCAGTTCCCTTAGGGAACCATCCAGTCTAAACCAATGCCTCCCAACCCTCACTATGCATCAAAGAATACAGATGCCAGCCCAGTCCAGAGATTCTGATTAAATTGGGTCTGAAGTGAGTTTATGTATAGACATTTTTTTTTTAAATCACTCCACCTGATGTGCAGCCAGAGTTGAGGACCACTGACTGAAATAATCATGATAATCCTATCCCTCATGCCAGGGATTGATTTAGGAGTGAGCAGGTGACTGAGTGCTGGCCAGTGAGTTGTGAGGAAAGGTCAGTTTGAGGATTCTGGCTTGTAAAATGGAGACCTCTGGAGGTGGTGCCTGGAACTGTGGCAGCCATCTTGTGACTATGAGGTAAGATAGCTGGTATGCAAAATTGTCATATTCTGGATTAAAAGCCCAGAATTTAAAAAAAAAAAAAACTGGGTCCTCAATGACATCATTGAGCTGCTGACTTAACCAAACCCTGCCCCACCTCTGGGCTTCTTTTTGGGTGGCATAACTTTCCTATTCTTTACACCAATACTAAATCCGGTTTTCTATTGTTGTTAGGTTGCTGCTGAGTGGATTTCGACTCATAGTTACCTCATGTGACAGAGTAGAACTGCCCCATAGGGTTTCCTAGGATGTAATCTTTACAAAAGCAGTTCACCAGGTCTTTTGCCCACAGAGCAGCTGGGTGGGTTTGAACCGCCAGCCTTTCAGTTAGCAGCCAAGTGCTTAACTGTTGCACCACCATGGCTTTTTAGTTTTCTATTGTTCGGTGCTGTTGAGTTGGTTCCGACTCATAGTGACCCTATGCACAACACAACAAAATGCTACCTGGTCCTGCACCATCCTCACAATCGTTGCTATGTTTGAGTCCATTGTTGCAGTACCTGTGTCAATCCATCTCATTGAGGGTCTTCCTCTTTTTCACTGACCCTCTACCAAGCACGATGTCTTTCTCCAGGGACTGGTCCCTCCTGATAACATGTCCAAAGTGAGATGAAGTCTCGCCATTCTCACTTTTAAGGAGCATTCTGGCTGAACTTCTTCCAAGACAGATTTGTTCATTCTTTTGGCAGTCCATTCTATTACCTGCCGCCAAATGCATCCTCACGGAGACATTACTCAATAAATGTTGAATGAGTGAATGGATGGATAGATGGATGAGTGAACTGCACTAGAGCAGAGACTGCAAGTAGGGAGCCCTAGAATTTGAGCCTGAAGTTGTCAGCATGGATCAGACCATGAAAGGCCTCGAATGTCAGGCTGAAGGGCTGGGGCTCTATCATGAGGGTGATGGGGAGCCATTGGAGGAGTGTAAGCAGGGGGAGAGATGGGGTGAGCTCTGAGTGTCAGAAAGATCGCTATGGAGCCGTGTGGAAGATGAGCTGGAGGGGAGAAACGAGGCCTGAGAGGAGATGGAGAAAAGGTCCATGCAGAAGAGGACAAGACTTGAACCAGGGCTGTAGGGACAGGAAGGGATGGGGCAGAGAGAGTTAGGGGGACAGGAAGATGAGGTTGGGGGCTGATGGACTGTAAAAGGGAAATGGGGGAAGGTGAGAAGGGAACATCAGGGCCAGGAGGGTCTGGTTGGGTGACCAGGTTGGCAGTGGGACCATCCGAAGGTGGGAACCAGGGAGGAGGAGTGTCTTGGGGGGAAGACGCTGAGCTCAGTGTGGGAGCTAAGGAAAATCTGAGGAACCAGGGGGGTTGTCTAAGGGGATAATGGCCTCAGAATAGTTGTTAGGGCCCCAGAGGCTCATGGGAAGTGTAGTTCTAGGTCCTGAACATTGGCCAGCAGACTGCAGAGGCTCATGGGAAATGTAGTTTGACTTCCAAGGGTCACTGCCCAGAATTTGGTTGATAAGGGAGTTTGGCATGACTGTATTTGGAGGACCAGTGACTCACTTAAGGCTACAACGTGAGCCAAGGCTACCATGTGATCCATGGATGATGGAAATATTTACACACACACACACACACACACACACACACACACACACACACACACACACACACACACACACACACACACACACACACACAC